TTTAAATAGAATAATATTCTATACATTGGTGTAGGAACAACGACAATGTATGACAAACTAGTTGTTTAAGATTACAAACACACTCGTATATAAGCAAGGAGTCAACATCAATGTGCTTTAGTAACTTACCGATGACATTGACATTAACAGACATCGTCTCCTCTCCATGTCATTCTTAATCTTTATTGGTGACTCTCCCTTGTCGTCGGCCCTGGTGGAATCTTTCACGGTCACGATGACTTCTACTGCCTGACTCACCTGCCAGCAATACATGAAAACATTAATGTGTATGAACGTCACAAAAGTAGACTTAACTCAGTTGTGCTGACTCCGTTTTTACTATCAGGGTCTACACTGCAAAATATATTGCCATACATTAATGGGCTGCTTGATATGACCTTGTCTAGATATCTTGTGTGTCACCAGATGCTACAAATACTGGGACTGAAATCAAGAGGAACTGCAATAAGCATACAGGAGGACAGTTTTGCTATACAGCTGCGTAGGTTATAAAACATACAGGCCAAAGGGTAGGCTTTATACATTTTTCACCCACTATGCATTAAGCCTGCTAGTCGCCTGACTGCTCTGTACAAGTTTATAACAGCATTTTCGCAAAAGGTTTAAATACAGTTCTCGACAAGTGAACAGTCTAACGAAGTGCCTGCAAACCTAGGTCTTGACTGTCAATGTGAGTTTTAGCCACATAACTTAATCTAGCCAAAACATTACATTTGTTTCTTGTGATCCTTGATTGGCTTGCCATTGAACAGCCAGGTGACTTAGGTGCCAGGTATGGCTCTGTATGGCCGATCTCTAACTCTGATAGGCTCTGTCCGCCTTTACATTAAGCCATCCTTGTATTTGTCTCCAATCTCAGTTCAGGTGCACTCATAAGTTGAAGTAGTAAACACAGAGATTTCATGAAGAAAACAATACTTATGAATAACGTATGATCAAGCATACTATTTAGAAGAGTACAGTACTGGATCACAGTTTCTTTGTAGTGGAAGCGCTAAATAAACAGCAATGACCATTATACCTATAGTATAGGTTGAATAATGGTATGACCAGATGGAAAAATAATTTATAAACTTACTGCGTTATTGTAAAGCACCTCTCTACGATTGCAATTCACGAAAAGAAATTATTATATCTTAATTGTCTTCTTTCTAAACTGTAAGAGTTCTGTAATACGGCCAAATTATAAATCATGCTTACATGTTTATCCTGGCAATAAATGATTTGGTAACATCTTGGCTGGAACGCGTTCCACTTCATTCTCTGCAGAGACTCTGGACCTTGTACTCTGGTCTTCTTTGAGGTTAGGCACTGTAACGCTCTTGTCCTTTGTTTTGGCCACCTTTTTCCACCTGAAATAACATCATTAAGAAAAATGATAGAATTAATATAAGAATAGAGTTAATAAAAAATAGAAAAAATAGTCAATAAGAGTTAAAGTTTGACATTTTTAGTCACGACACATAATTACAATTTGTAATAATGTGAGAGAAATTATTATGGCAAGCGATTGAAGCCCCACCAGCCACTTACCTGCCAGGTGAAGCACTGATCACTTACCTGCCAGGTGAAGCACTGATCACTTACCTGCCAGGTGAAGCACTGATCACTTACCTGCCAGTAAGCACTGATCACTTACCTGCAGTGGAAGCACTGATCACCTTACCTGGCCAGGTGCTTCCTCTCATCACAGATCTCAACAACAAAGTCCAGATCTCAACTCCACCATCATCGGCTCGTTATCCCACTCCAGCTACGGCCTCATGAGACGCTCACGTCACGTGCTCTCACCTCTTTAGGTGCTTCTGGTTTGTCTGTAATGTGTCAAACAGATATAAGCAAAGAATTAGATTCTCAATAACAGTTTCATGTTGTCATTAGACGCTTATTGCATTACGCAATACGAAAATGTTCTGTCAGTTAATTAAAAACAATCAAATCATGTAGATCAAATAAGTGTAGGTGTTATTCATGCCATATCCACTTTAGCTTGTTAGCTGGCAGAGTCCTGCATATATGATGTTGCAGTGTAACCTATCATCTTAACATGCATAATTATCTTGGATACGAGAAAGGACTGCAATAGTTATTGTATGTTATCTTATTATGTTTAATGTCACAGCGTGTCTTCAAGTAACATTTTTAACGATAATGCCAGTCATTATATACAGCAGTATTTCACTTGGATTATGCACAAATTCTAATCATTCAATCATTAAGTCACCATAAAACAAAAAGTGTTATCGGTAGAAACATGAATTGATGTCCAAATGCATTAGTGTACGTCTACATAACTGTATTGAGTAAACATGAACAAAATATGACCAAACTACATTTTAGAAAAAGTTACTACAAGGACTCGATAACTATGGATTAGCCTATTTACCGATGACATGACATTAAGACATCGTCTCTCTGTCCATGTCATCTTATCTTTATTGTGTACCTCTCCCATTGTCGCGCTCTGCCCCCCGGCCGCCCGGGGCGCGCGCGCCGGCCCGCGCCGCGCCCGGCCGCCCCGCCCGGCCGGCCCGCGCCCCGCCGGGCCGGGCCGCCGCGCCCGCGCCCCCCGCGCCCTGAATCTTTCACGCACAATGGACTTCTGTACTGCCTGACTCACCTGGCAGCAAATATATTAAAACATCAATATAGGATAACACATGTAGTTAGACTCATCTGCCCTATGTACCTTGGTAGCTAATATGTATCAAGCAGGATACTGAATACGATTAGCCACACTTCAGACTTATACCAACATTCAGCACACATAAGATGTGGGGGGGGGTCACTTATTTACACTTTTTAGTTACAGCTTTAAAACAAAAACTGAAGAATAAATCATATTTTTAGGAATTTTTCAGCCCGAATTGAAAGTCTGTGTGACATAATCATCTAGAGCAAACATTACATTTGTTTGCTTGCTGCATCCTGATCTATAATGTTTTACGATGTTTAACTATGCAATGATGTTTATCATGTTTTGCTATGTTTTACGATGTTTAACTATGCAATGATGTTTATCATGTTTTGCTATGTTTTACGATGTTTAACTATGCAATGATGTTTGTCATTTTATCAGGACAGAATCCAGTAACCCTCCGGAATTTATAGCAAACATTATTAGCCATGCTAATCGAGTGCTAATCTTTTTATGTTGTTATGCTTACAGTTATAAGATTTGGGGACTAATAATGAATACGTATGTTACAGATGTGCCCAAGAAGCCAAGGAACTTGCAAATTCTAGACGTGCAGGCTGACAACGTTACAATCTCTTGGGAACCTCCAGTTGATGATGGAGGAACTGACATCACAGGTAACACAGTCATGCAGCCATCGTTGGCCATGTGTTTATTTTCACCTTCCTCTCTCTTCGCGCTTCCTCTGCCACTTCGTCCTCATTTTATTTCCGTGCCCATCTGTTACTGCCGTTTCTCATCTGTTTTTATTTGTTAAGATTATATGTGATAATTGCGAAGAATCAAGAAATGATCATGATTGAATGCTTTGAAATGTTAAACATTTTCATTCCATGTTTTAATATGAGATTTCATTTTAGCTGTTATATTTCGCAATATGTTGTTAGTTACTGCACATCGGTCTCAGAGTGGTGGAAACACAAGGTTATCACTGTATAGCCCATGTGTGATCTATCGATGTAAAAGTAAATTGGAAGAAAATCTATAATTTGCTTTTACATTAAAACGTAGTGTTTATTCTAGAGGTTTTTGTGTCCGTTGTTCTGTTTTGATGATCTTTTGGTATAGAAGCATGAGTTCCGTAATTGCAGTGTGAAACTCTACTATACATAAAAACTTAAACTGTAAGTGTAGCTGTTGCTAACTTGGTAACTTTTATTACCCGTATACTGCGTCTTTAATATAGTCTGTGTAAACCTAAATAATAAACTTGCATATAGTTCTTTGTGATCTATTCGAGTTTATTATTTAAACTTATAGATTAGTATATAGTCTATTTCATATACCTGTACCAACCTCACAGTGCACATCAATATTTGTCAAGATGGTTTTAACTAGGCCATCAAGGCCTAAAAATTGGTCAATTTTTCACATGCTATTATGGTATCCTGACAAAATCTTATCAAAATACGAAAGGGACACGCATGACTAATTTAAGAAATTAAGCATTCGATCACGAGATTATGACATGCATGTTAACCATGAAAAAGGCCATGTACTAGCTGAAGCTTCTTACTACAGACAATCTGAAATGAGAAATTAATATTCAGTCAGTGATAAAGGTACTGAACTCTGAACACATTCAGTTATGCTAATCAAATATACTTGATGGTAAAGCACAGAAAATACATTCCACTGCATCTCTATTGACATATTGGTTGAAAACATTGAATTGGCTCCAATCATTCACAGATCACATGTTATATTGACTTACTTGACTTACAGAGAATTAGGAGACACTCATTATATTTCCCAATCATGACAAATGATAGACGTTATGTACTTACTCACTTATCAGAATACCCCTGTATAAGATTTATTACATTACAATTAGATTACAATCAACACACAAGTATCATATTATCAAAAATCACATCTCCCTTCTCACGATGACAGTGTCAGCACATACCCGTAGGCATGCGCGGTGATGCAATGTGGGGTACGGGCAGAGTATTATGAATAATATGTTATTGTGTTGTGAAATGCTGTGGTGACTTTTTAGGCGAAAGAATCATTCCGGCCATTGAAGGTGAGGTATAGGATGACTGCTGGCGGGTAAAAAACAATGTCTTTATCCAGAGCTGACCAGAATGTGCTAAACTTTTTACTGCGGCACTCCTGACTCTATACTTTGGCGCTTCTGTGTGTGTGTGTGTGAATTTTGCTTTGCTCTGCGAAGGCTTCTTGCTTCGTATGATGCATGTGCTGTTGACCTGGACAGCATAAAATGTTCATATACATGGAATGTTTCATTAATATTTTGTCATTTATAATCATGTCGTGATTACACCAACATTATTGCGGTCCCGCAAACATATACAGGAGAAAATGCGTGTTTGAGGTGGAAGAATATCCTGCCATTTTTTGCGAAATTCGATAATATCTGCATTGTTGTGCAGTCGATTCTTTGCATTTTCTCACGTCTTTCATAGTTTCAAGTTTATTCCTTATATAGTTCAAGGAAAAGTCATTTGGCTATAGATTTCCAGAAAATGCGCTGAACGTGTACTATTCTATGTCTTTATTTTGGCACACTGTTAAAGGTTTTTAGAATTTAAGCAGGTTTAAGTTAAAATTTTAAGCAGATTTTTTTTTTTTTACGCAGTTTTTTATATGCGTATCTTCATTACTGATAATACTTTTTAGCAAGGGCCCATAATGACCATTATGAAGCAACTAGAGGCAATGTCTCAGTTGCTGTTATTGCAAACTTGGGCATATCATATCTCCAGTTGTCATCTTTAATTTAATATAAAGTCATTATAACCTTGAAGCCCCCAACAGGTGTCATTTATTTCATTTGTATTTTTACACTAGATTTTGCAGTGAAATTTTAAACAAAGCTGTGTTTTGTGGACTGGTAATGATATTGCTTATTTTTGATGGTGGTATAATATATTATAGCAGTGTGCCACGTACAGTAATTTTTGCAGTGGTAAAACAATATTTTATTTATATTGATGATTTTTGCTTTTATTCGTTTTTTATTTTATTATGCAAATTTTTTATCTTGATTTTATTTATTTATATCCTTTTTTGGCTGATTGCAAGTTCTGTCATGAACCCCAAACCTCCCAAAAACCACTGAAGCCAAAATACTATAGGTGTGATTTGATAAATTTAGAACCTGAATCTCTACTCCTTTCCTTGTCTTGAAATCTACCTATTTTATGGTGTGTGTGTCTTGATTGAATTGCTAATCAGGAGTTTCTTCACTATTTTCTGAACAGGTTGCCTGTTTCCGTTTCTGATTCTGATTCTAATTTATATCAATAAGAGGTGTGATGGCTAATATTCTCTACTGTGAATAATTATTATTATTGTGATCGTTGGTCGATCGTTCGTGCCCGTTTCTATATTTTTCTGTATGTTTTCATTACCGTAATTTTCTGTACATGTTTTACCGTGCACATGCAGTTTCTTTTGGAATCTTTTGTTGTTTTTTGTTGTTTTTCTTATTTCTTATTATATTTATTTTGGCATGTTTGTTTTTAACTGTTTTACAGTATAACATGTGTGATGCTACATTTGAACTGTGTATATGAGTGTGTGGGTTTTCAATGTTGTAGAGTTGTTATAGTTAGGAGCAGATTAATTTCATAGGGAAGCAGTACTGGTGCTTGATTTTGCTGCTCCCACGCCGCATCTATCTATCTATCTATATGGTTATGTCGATCTGTCATTCTTGACAATTACTCAACGGTTTCCGGTGGGCGTAAAAAAAGAAAAATTAACAAATAAGAATTGCATGACCAAAAAAAAATAAAGTAAGAAAAAAAAAATTAAAGAATAAAATAAAAGTGTTGATCGCATATATATATATAAGCAGTGAGATGCAGACAGACAACCATTACTGTTAACATTATTATTATAAAACTTAGCGCATACCAATCAAATGGTAATCATTTATATCTAATTTATATGCACCACCAGTAACAATATTTTGATAGACGAGATATTGTGCTTTCTCTCACAGAAATTCTAGATCTGCTGCTAACTGTTCCTATTGTTCATAGTTGCCAAACGTTGGAAATATATTTGTCCATAAATTTGGTAACAAGCTTTACATAACATAAAAACGTTTATATATAAGACACTGGATATAGAAGTAGAATCGTGCAGGTAGACAAACATAGAACCTTCGCTGTTTTTTATTTAATAGTTTTTCCACGTGTGTATATGTGTATATCTGTATAAAATATTTATCAGCTGGATGTAGCAGTGATCTATGCAAAGATTAAACTAACCTAGCTTAAACTACAATGTTGGTTCCTTCAAATGCACAGACTGTGTGTCATTGAGTAAATGATGCTGAAACACAGATCGCGCATTTTCACGGTACACGTTCGTAAGCATGTTTTGTTCATTCGTAGGCTATATCATTGAAAAGAACAACATCAAAGAGCCGAAAGTGTGGGTGAAGGTGTCTGCAACGAAATCTCTGAAATTCACTGTGCTGAACCTGATTGAGGGAGATGAGTATCACTTCCGCATCTTTGCTACTAATAAGATTGGACCCAGTGAGCCACTGATGACAGAGAAACCGGTCAAATGCAAGCGCCCAAAAAGTATGTATGCTGTGTTGACATGTAGACAGGCAGACAAATCAGATGGGTGGACAGATGGGCAGGCAGGCAGACAGACAGACAGACAGACAGGCAGACAGGCAGACAGACAGACAGGCAGACAGGCAGACAGACAGACCAACCAAATGATCGACAGACAGACAGCAAGACAGAGAGCTGTAAACGTGCTGCTAATGGCGAGTGGATAAACATAACGGTAGAAACACTCTTATAGATGCACTTTCAATTAGAGTGTGAGTGTTAAAGTTGGAATCTAAAAAAAGTTGTAATCTTTCTGTAGCTATATGCCCTGACATTAAGTGACAAGTGCTAGTAATAGTAAAGGAGGGCAGATGTGTACATAGATGCACAAAAAGTGTCGGTAAGGTTGTATCACTGTGAATTCTCTCTACGTCACGGCTGACTTTTGTTGATTAGTACCGCCGAAGATTGAGCTGCTGAACCAATACAAGGACGGAGTGGAGGTATGCGCAGGAGAACAGCTAGAACTGGAGATTCCCTTCAGTGCTAACCCCATGCCTGATGTTGTCTGGAAAAAGGATGGCAAACCAATTAAGGTACGTTAAATTCGTAATTAAAGGTTCATTAAACTTTGGAGTATTCAACACAAGCAATCATTTTTCCCTATAACTGAGTCCCGTATTTAATAATTCTGCCACTAGACTAATTCTAGAATATCGCTGTGATAAACTTGATAGGTTGTTATTTGTTTATGTGCATGTACACAGTGTATGTGTGTCTATTGATTGTAACAGATTATGCAATCGGTCACGAAGCCACTAATATTTAACAGTTTGCAACAGTCTGCACTGAAGGTTTCTATGTTGTGTGCTTTATTGAGAAATATATGACAAAGCTCTCTCTAGTCAATGCCAATCTCACCTATTTCCTGCCATGACATCAAACGTACGTTTTATTGGTCCTTTAGGCAAGCAATAGGGTGAAGATGGTAACAGAAGAGGACAAGACAGTGCTCACTATCCCCGAGACAGAAAGAGGAGACCTGGGCAAGTATGCCGTGACCCTTAAGAACGAGCTAGGAGAAGATACGGCTGAAATACCTGTCAATGTTGTAGGCAAGTATACGTTAATCACAATACATGAAATAAAATTAACATAATAATTATGAATAAACATCAATTTAGAAGAAATAGCATAACATATGTGCTTTATGAAATCTTTATCATGCAGTATCTGCTAAGTTCTCCTTTAAAAGGAATAGCAAAAGAGATACGGGCCAACAAATTTATTAAATGTTGTCATTTGTAAAATTATTAACATCCCCTAGGAATGGAAATTACTATTCAAGGTGTTTTAAAATGTTGTTATCATATCCATATATGCATGCTAGTGCGTGCAAGTTTATTACTTATAGTCATTCATGCGTTTTTTATTATCGCTATAAGTATAATGGTAACTGTCATCTGTACATTATAGATAAGCCAAACCCACCACGTGACCTAAAGGTCACTGATGTTCGTGAAGACCAGATGACACTGAGCTGGAAGGCACCAGACGATTGCAATGGTGCCCCGCTCCTTGGCTACACGATTGAAAAACAGGTAACCACGCACACACGCACTTAAACACGCACACACACACACACACACACACACACACACACACACACACACACACACACACATCGCTGTGTGTATCCATTTTAATTATCTGTATCGATCGGACTGTTATTCCTTGTCAGCTACTCGAGCTATATCAACTGCTTCGTATGCACAGGATCAGGCAGATGGGTCGTGGCAAAATGTTGGCAACCTGCCGGCTGATGCAACTAACCACATTGTGCCAGACCTGCACGAGGGACACGACTACCACTTCAGAGTCTGTGCTCTGAACCGCATTGGCACCAGTGTTCCTCTTCAGACAAAGAAGGCCATCAAGGCTGAGAGGCGCCCAGGTAACAATCTACATCTAACACAAGTTTAAACACACTAGCAGCAGTTCTTGTTTGAACGATTCTTACAATCTAACACAAGTTTAAACATTAATGGCAGTTCTTCTTTGAGCAATTCCTACAATCTAACACAAGTTTAAACACACTAGCAGCAGTTCTTGTTTGAACGATTCCTACAATCTCACACAAGTTTAAGCACACTAGCAGCCGTGGTTGATTGAACGAAAATAACGTAGTATTTTGGATAAATATTGTTGGATAATTTCAATTAGTTCAAATACCTGCTGTTGTTGACGTACGATTACCAGCCAACCTCGTTATGTGTTTGAGTGTGCTGCTATGTGAGGTCTCAGCTATTAAAAGTAACCGTTCCTCTTGCAGCACCTCCTGATGTTGATCTTGACGCCAAGTATTTGGAACCTATTGTCCTGAGAGGAGGAGAAACGCTGAATATTGTCATTCCTTACACTGGTAATCCGCCGCCGTCGGTCGAGTGGATGTTTAACAACCAACCATTCAAGGTGAGTCAAAAGAAATTCCACATTCTATATAGAAAAATAAATTAATTATAATATATGTTATATTTATACATACAATACATACATACATAAATAAATTGTGTGGTGTTGATGAAAATAATGCCGAAAATCCATCGTATGTCAACAAGCTACAGTTGTGTACTGATTGGGCGACAAACAGCATGTTCACATGTCTGTGGTAAATGTATGTGAATGTACATGAAATCCCAGCGCGACCATCCCCGATATCTTGGCAATGTTTAGAAGGATCGTGAAACATTCATGGAAAATGAGCATTCGATCGCCAAGCTCACTGTGAAGGAGGTCCGGCGGGATGACATGGGAAGCTACAAACTAAGACTGAAGAATGACTTGGGAAGAAAGGACGTTGACATCAAAGTTACTGTCATAGGTATGCAGCCGAGAGAAAAGTAAACATTGTTTCTATAAAAAGTCATTGATATTATATTTTTGTGCTCTTAGCTACCATGCTGAATTATTAATAATATTTTTAATGCTAGTATATGATACAGTGTAAAACTAGATGTAATTATAAAGATATTATTTGAAAAATTTACATACGTATGTATATACGACACTTATGTATCTGTATTATGTAAATGCGCAGTATGTATCTGTATTGTTAACAAATAGTTTGCAGTCGGACAACGGTTCTGCACTGTTTATTGAGACATCTTTTTTTTTCGTTTATGCTTGGTCACTCATTAATCATACAGATCACCCACTAGCACCTCGCGATCTCAAGGTGGTCAATGTCTTGGCTGACAGCATGGTTATCCGTTGGCGCGAGCCGGAAGAGGATGGTGGAAGCCCTGTTACTGGTACAGTTGATAGCTAGTTTATTAGTTATTATAATTACCAGATATAATGAATTATATACGGGTAAACCGTATTCGTTAAATTGTCTCAGCATCTTTAGTTTGCATGTTCGGGCTCATTGTTCACGAATATTGAGTTACCTTGAAATACATAAATTTGGGCACAGGTGTCGATTGATATCGTAATGGTTTAGAGAAAAGTTTATAATAACGATTTTCGTGATCGTTTCATTTTTATTTCAGGCTATGTCATTGACAAGGCATTGGAGGACAAAAAGAAGTGGGAGCAGGTCACTGTAGTGGATGGAGCCACATTGACGTGCAAGATACCAGGCTTGGTGGAGGGTACGAAGTATCATTATAGAGTTGCCGCTAGGAATGACATTGGAGAGGGGCCACATGTTGTCACTGAGAAGGCAACACTGGCATCTAGGCCACCTGGTATGTTTATAACATTACTGTGGAAATCCAAGCCTTATCAGTGACCCTTACATATATTCGTTTTAAGATAGTTTTAGGACATCGTGGGTGTATATGAGAGCTGTGTGATGTTACCTGTATGTGTCTATATGTAAAGCCTATATGGGTTGATGTGTTGATATAAATGCTGCAATATAGTACAATGGTTAAGAAATACTTGATAACTGTAATAAATTACTAAATGAGTACAGCTTCATTCAATTATGGTCGAATCATATACATATACTTGAATGCTTTACTGAAAAGTAATTTTATGTATGTGTTGTATATTGTTGTACATCTATTTTCATTATTAATATTTTGTGTTTCTGTAACGCAGCACCACCGGATGTTGATCTGGATGCCAAATATCTGCAACCGATTGTCCTAAGGAGAGGAGACACTCTCAATATTGACATCCCGTACTCTGGTAACCCAGACCCAACAGTGGCATGGTGCCATGACAACAAGCCATACAAGGTATGTTCATGTTTATTCTGGTGATACATGTTTCTCATTGTTTCGTTATGACCTTCAAGTTTAAATATTATGGGCAATTCCATGGGTGCTAACTGTCTGTCTGTAGACGGATTTCCGTCTTGAGAAAAATTCAGAATTTTTTTTTTAATTAAAAAGTGAATTGCATCTATTGATCTTAACAATGTATGCTTGTTTTATATTCTTATATAATAGTGTTTTATCCAAGTTTTGTGTTACAAATTAAATAGATTGTAGTATTTTTGAAATTTCTATCTTAATTACTGTGAAATGTCACCAAATGTGTTTTATATTGAACAGAATTCGTAGCTTTTTTTGTTAAGACCCATGCAATTCTAATAATTACCTAAATGAATACATGATTAAATGATTGCAGGAAGACCTCCGAGCTCACATGAAGGATGACGATTCTGTCGCTAAGCTCACTGTGGAAGACGTTCGACGTAACGATTCTGGAACCTACACCCTGAAACTCAAGAACGACCTGGGCTCAAAGGATGTCGACATCAAAGTTACCGTGATTGGCACGTGCAGTTTTAACTTTAGTAGATTGAAATTCTAGGACTTAATAGCAATTTCCCATTATTTGTCTGTCTTCTTAATGAAAATTGTGTTAGTAAAGGTGTGCACGATGACACTACAGTTACGATATATTAAAACTACATCTCTGTGTTTAGATCATCCGAAGCCACCCCGCGACCTCAAGGTCACCAACATCATGGCCGACAGCATGGTTATCCGCTGGAGGGAACCTGAAGAGGATGGTGGAAGCCCTATCTCTGGTAATTAACATCTTTTAATTAATCGCTATACCATTCAGCGTTATCAGCTTGTCACGTGAAATTATTATAAATGTATATTAATGCAAAATATGTATAATATTCAATACTAGTTCAGTTCCAAAACCAGTGCATTGCTGGGAGAATATCATTTAAGTAGTTGTAGGATCAAGATTATTTTCTGAGAAACATTTACTGTTTTGGTTGTATGAAAGATTTTAAGTTTCATGATATATACGTTAATGCGTGTTGATTTAATCGTATGCTTGACTGTTCCTTGCAGCCTACGCTGTTGAGAAATGTGATATTTCCGATATGGACAACTGGGAAGAGGTGGATGTAGTCGACCATCTTACTGTTAATTGCAAGATTCCTAACCTGACAGAGGGACATGAGTATAACTTCAGAGTGAGAGCTAGAAATGACATTGGCGACAGTGATCCTATCACAACAGACCATCCAATTAAGGCCGAAAGACCACCAGGTATTTTCTGTTACTAAATTGATACGTTTGTTCAGCTTGTAATTCATGTGCCATTCATATATTAGTATTACCTAAAAAATGGTTTCCTAATGGTTTCCTAATAACGTTTTTTCTCGGTATGGAAAAGGGATTCAACACTAAGTAATTATATAGAAAATTTGAAATTAGAAAAGTAGAGTATGTGTTAGGTCTGTATTAGTCATATATAAAGCTATTGCCTTCAAATATCATGAGGCCCGATAAATTAATGCAGAGATATCTTACCACAGCTCCACCAGACTTTGATTTGGATGCCAAGTATGCAGGGACAATCACACTCAAGGGTGGAGAAACTCTTGATGTTGAGATACCATTCTCTGGCAAACCAGACCCAACTGTCAGGTGGAACCATAATGGCAAGCCGCTAACCATGGGTTCGGATGACCGATTGAACTTGGATGACACTGACTTTGTAGCCAGGTGAAATTCTACTGCAATATTTGACATTTGGTGTCAAAATTCTTCATATGGTATCATCACGCATTTTGATTTTTTAATTTTCATGTAATATAACATATTTTCATTTCCCTTATAGTTCAACATACAAAAAATGTATGATAATATTTAGGATAATTATTGCCACTTAGTAATGCTTGACCACATGAATGTACATAGAGTTGATGTTTTCTCCATGCCAGATTGACTGTGACAAACGTCAACAGAAATGACAGTGGACCGTATGTTATGAAACTCTCAAACGAGCTTGGTACCAAGGATTGCCATCTTAGGGTCAAGGTTATCGGTAAGCAAATGCTTATGCATTCATTTTAGATTACATTGGCACGATGTGCTAAATTGTTCAGACTGAGATAGTAGATTGCATCTAGTGTGTCTCTTAGGGAGGCATTTATGAAATGATATTACTTTTATGTCCTGTTTTATGTTATGTTATGTCGGCAACAGAAGAAACACATTGCGGGAATAATGTCGAAAATATGTCTCCTGTGGTTTCGCAGCTTGAATGTAATTTTTTTTAAGATTAAGATGACTAGTTTCTGTGCGCTTTCTTCCTTAAAATATCTCATTTCATTTTACTTTCTTTGGATTAGACAAACCTGATATGCCAACAAACCTCAAGGCAACAAATATCATGCCTGACAGCATCACGATTCGCTGGCAAGAACCACTGGATGATGGAGGTGCCCCTGTCACTGGTGAATATATGCTCATAACCGTGTCATATTTATCTCTGTTAAGTGTGATGTAGTCTCTATTAGATACTCTAGAAAAATATATGTTATGAACTCGATTCGTGAGGGTTACTATGAAAGACTATGGGGACTATGAAACTTCTTATTCTGATGGAAAGGTCAAGATTGGTTCTCGTTTTATATTAACATCCTGTTATACTACAACTATGATGCCTTATTACTACTACCTATTATACTATGACTCGTCCCCTGTTTCCTATAAAGCGCAAATCTAAATCTCTTTTCACTGATAATCTTTAGGCTACCTTGTTGAGAAGGCTGGCGTGGATAAGGATGACTGGGAGGAGGTTGGTATCACGGACAGCTGCAACATGAAGGTGCCTAATCTCACTGAAGGACAAGAGTATCACTTTAGAGTGACAGCCAAAAATGACATTGGTGACAGTGATCCATTGGAGACTACTAAGCCAATTAAGGCTGATAGCCCACCTGGTATGTGACGATGATTGTCGTTAAAATTAATGCAGTAATGTAGCATGTTCGGAGTCAGATCAGTTAAATATTCAATGTTAATCAGGGTTAAACCTGGCTACCTGGCTAATTTAATCTTTACATATAAATAAATAAATAAATAAATATGTGTGTGCATGCGTGCGTGTGTGCGTGTGTGTATCTATGCTTGTGAGATTTTAAGGCATTGTATGTTTTTGCAGTGGCGCAGCTGTGTGAGCTTGTATGTGTTACATGAGCACATGTATACACGATATATCTTTATTTTCACAGCTGCTCCCGACTGCTATCTTGACGCTAAGTACATGGGCGTGGTCACGATCCGAGGAGGAGAAACCCTGTATCTGGAGGTGCCATTTAGTGGGAAACCTGACCCTGAGGTGGACTGGTTCCACAAGGGCAATCCAATTAATGAAGACGGTAGGACAACAATCGACAACTCAGAGCAGGTAGCCAGACTAAAGGTTGAAGATGCCAGGTTGGAAGATGGGGGACTATATAGCCTGAGACTGATGAACAAACTTGGATCCAAAGATGCTCAGATCAAAGTCAAGGTCATAGGTGAGTGATTCACCAGGTCACGTCAAATTTCTACGAATACACGTTGACAGTAGTTGTGACAGAGTGTGAGGCGGACGAACATCGATGAATTCGCCTAATGACTGGTGCTATATGAATGTTTGTGTTACAACGTAGATGTGCCAAAACCACCGAAGGACCTGCGAGTTACAGATGTGAGAGAGGACAGGATGACACTGCGCTGGAAGGAACCGGAGAGTGACTGTGGTTGTCCCATCACAGGTATCTACCCGATATCAAGGCTTAATAATGCCAAGTTTGTCAATAATTAATCATTTTAAATTTTAAATAAACAAAATTTCATACAAAAATTTTGGAATTTTCAAATTTGTCAATATTAACCCCTGCCGATATCTATCACAAACACCTACCATGTGATTTATTAGTGTATGAATTGATGACTGTGCCCGGAGCAAATCAAGTCTGTAAGGAAGAGCTGAAATCAGTACAGTGTTACAGGTGTAATTTGATGAAAAGGGATAAAAGATATTGAAACTTCCAAACGAAAACCACGATTTTCACATTTATATCTGCATTATTTGTCAATATATGCTTGTGATACGAACGACATAGATGCTTTTTAAAGGGAACTTTTTGTTTCGTAATGGTTTTGATTCTGCATTGATAAGCCTATGATCTCAGACTATTGTATATTCTGACATGTATCGATCAGTATTGTCATGGTTGTCATGGTGATACACTACTGTTTAAGATAATACTTCCTATACTAGTGTTATCACTTCTAGTACACTGAAGTAATTTCTTGATTGTGTTTCTTCTTGGGAATTTGTTAGTTCAGCCCAGCAAAATCTCATTCTCATTTAATGCGACTATTTCTGCCAAAATACAACTAACCATCGTCATTTTTTTATGCAAATAGGATACATTGTCGAGTATTCTGGAATTGACAAGGATGACTGGACAGTCGTTGGTGAATGCACAGCAATGAACTTCACTGTGTTGCATCTCATCGAGGGAGAAGAGTATTTCTTCAAAGTGAGGGCTGTTAATGAGGTGGGAAAGGGCGAACCCAACGAGACCGTGCAGCCAGTGCGGGCTGAGAGACCACCAGGTAATAACAGATTCAGTAGATTCGTTCTTCCTTTTCCGTACCGTAATATTTATGAGCCTAATAATAGCGTTTCTTTTGTTTTATATTTTGTCTATTCTTTATACTGTAGGTGTAACTTATAGGCTTATATCAATGTGTACGTATCCATCTGATATCTATGTGCTAATGCTTGCAATCAAGTCAATTCTCACGTTGTAATGATATAATGGTTTTGGCTTTTAGTACCTCCTGCTGGATATAATAATAGTTTAATAATAGTGTCCTTTGTTTTTAATTTTGTCTGTTTCTCATACTGTAGGTAATCTATGTGTACTTATCCATCTGTCATCTATTTATTTATGTGCTAATGCTTGCAATCAAGTCAATTCTCACGTTATAATTATGGTTGTTCTTTATGCAATAAATATCTTTACGTATAAAATTGCTTACGTAAACATTTTTCACTAATTGCGTATCTTTTTTTTTAATGTCTTTTTAAATCTTTTAATATCTTTTAATTACGTAAAAATCTTTACGTAATAAATATCAACAATATCATGGTTTTGGCTTTTAGCGCCTCCTGCCGCGTACATCGACAACGACACGGTCACGGTGGAGGCTGGTGATGACCTGGTCATCGAGGTGCCATTCGATGGCTTCCCGATTCCCGAAATCTCGTGGATCATCAATGGGCACATGGTAACGGCGGAGGATGAGGGCGTGATAACTGAGATTACGCCCGACAACGTTGCCGTTTTGAGCATTCCTCGGGTGCAGAAGGACGACGGGGGAGTCTTCCAGATCCGACTGAAGAACGACCTTGGCAGGGACCAGAAGTCGATCAATGTCATTGTTCTCGGTGAGATGGCAATTTTATGAGAATTTTTTCGTACTCGTATTCACCACTGTTCGAGGTTCCTAATATACTAAAGTCTGTATAAAATTAAATACTAAAACTGTTTTAAACTGTCTGTAAATCTGCACTACTGTAAGTCTGTAAACTGTTTTAAGCTGTGTGTAAATCTGGACTACTGTAAGTCTGTAAACTGTTTTAAGCTGTCTGTAAAAGTTTGTTATTAATATTTTGTTTTAAACGGAGGGTTAATAGTTTTGTGTTAGGATAACAGGTTAACTCGTCGTTAACAGGTTAATATCATAAAAATGAACCATACCAGCATCTTCATGGGCATATAAGTCACTGTTTGGTTACTTCCTCACTAGATATAAAACCTTTTTTCACTTTAACTTGGGCAATAATTATAATTATGTTCCCTGAATACTTAACATACAATACACAATACTTGTGACTTGTTCTGTAGGTGCACCCGGTAGGCCTGAACACCTGAACCCCACAGATGTGACGGAAGACTCGGTCACCTTAAAGTGGCAGAGACCAAGAGACAATGGAGGAAGCCCAATAACGTCGTACGTCGTCGAAAAGCGCACCCATCCCGATGGAGAGTGGGAGGCGGTCAGTATGGGTCTATTCACTCTTGTTAAGTTTTTTTTCTGAAACCATACTAGATACACAAAGGTACAATGAGTAACAGCGTGAATCTTTCTGCAGTGTAAATGTGTAAATATGTGCGTGCGTGCGCGCGCGCGCGCGCGCGTGCGTGCGTGCGTGCGTGGTTACATGTTTTTCAATTGTGTAGCTAGGGAGAGGGGCACCATCGTTGATGTGGGACGGACATGCTTGCTTGCGTGTGAGTGTGAGTGTACATGTACATGTGAGTATGTCATGTACATGTGAGTATGAGTGTGAGTGTGAGTGTACATACTCGTGTGAGTGTATTTTTTATCAACTAAATGCATCTGTTTCAGGTTGAAGCTACGGACGAGACGACGTTTACTGTCAGAGAGCTGACAGAGGGCAATGAATACTACTTCAGAGTGTTTGCTGAGAACAAGTATGGTCTAGGTTACCCTGCAGAGACTGAGGAGGCCACACTATGCAAATGTCCATTTGGTACGTGACAGCAACAAGCAGCTCGACATTATTCGGCTTATTTTTGTCAAACCGCGTGTTTGGTCGGCCGCACCCCATCCCTAATTCTGAATAAGAATTAGACTAGTTAGACATATTGCTTACTTAGACAGTTAGCTTGAGTAATAAGCTAGAGTGAGCTCATGTTTATATCTAAGTCCTTTTTGTGATCTTAAACTAATTTAAATCTCAAATAAATTAATCGTGATTAAACTTACATTAGCATATTTGTATGTTAACTATGTATAGCATGAATACATATGTGACACTATCCATCAGTCGTTTCTAACAGCAGTATCTTCAATAGATGCATACATAGCTATTTTTGAAGCTCATAGCTTCTTTGGCTAAAGCAAAAATTTCCACGTAATTCTCTGTTTATAGAAAAGCCAGAATATACACTGGGAGCCGAGTACAAGAAACCAGTGTATGTGGAGAAGGGAGGAACTCTGCACTTGGACATTGCCTTCTTCGGTGATCCGGAACCTTCCGCTTCGTGGAACTTCAAGGACCTTGCCAAAGGACGAGACCACCAGCTGTTCACTGATCATAGGACGAACATCCATCAGGTGAACTACTGATAAAAGTAGATTTACTTGTAGTCAGATTAATTGCATATGATTTGTGTTACATTTAGTGGTCGAGTGCTTATGAAATCGTTTTTATATTCACCGATAAATTGTATTATTGCTAGCATAGTGGTTGTCATGCTGAATTGACCAAATGATGGTAAGAACTTCACATTTTCATATTTTTGTTATATAGTTTACTGTATATTAATAACCACTGAATGTGCTGTAATGGGTGTCATGACAGAGATCAAGTGTTAGCCACTTTCTAGAGTTGCCTTTTATAATTTGAGAGCTGGTTTTTTGTTAATAATAATTAACAGAATTTTACATACAATAATAATTGTGCATTATAATCAAGCAACTGTACTATTATTTTAAATTGTCACAGCACTATCATATTCATCCTGAGAGAGCTGGTTACGTAGCAACAATCATTCGAAACAAGATGGAGAAAAAAGACGAAGGAACTTACTGGCTACATCTGAAGAATCTCGCTGGAGAAGAAGCCATTCCTATAGAAGTGCTTGTCATGGGTGAGCAGTGATGCTGCGAAACTAGAGATTATATATGATGAGTCGTGTTTTTGTCTTTCACTTGCTGTGATCGTATGAGGTGTACAGCATGCAAGTGAATTTGTGTTTTGTTTTGTGTTTAAGATGTTCCGTTGCCACCTCGTGACTTGAAGGTGGTGGAAGTTTCGGCAGAAAGCATGACTGTGCACTGGAAGCCACCTGAGGATGATGGTGGAACTGAACTCACTGGTAGGGCACGTTTGTGATGTTTAGCAAAAATTTTGAAGCAATGACAGTACTCCACTAAACGACCAGAGTTTAATCTCCAAAGTGAGAACTTCACAATCATGTAATATATATATAATTATGAGCAGGTAAAACAGTATAATATATAATATCAACAATATAATATAGAATCAACTCTCCCAATACCGACCGTAACCCTCGGGACTGTCCATTACGTTCAGTTGTCTGTGAAGTTCCATTGCTTGGGGGCCTATATTTCAGGCATATCTTACATGTCTCAGATGGTGTTAGGACTTGAAAAGCCATCCAGTTTAAGGTGACATTCTGTTTTGAAGACGTTCGGAATTTGGAGACTATATATAATTAGCACATATATTAATATATAACTAGCGCATAATTTTTGTGACCATACACTATTAAAATTACGGCATAAGGCACACCACATTTAACAATGTGTCTGTTTCGCCTTCTCAATAATCTTATATAATCTTATATATCTCCTTCTCAATAATCTTATATAATCTTATCATCTTATATAATCTTATATATCGCCTTCTTATATAATCAGGCTACATCGTCGAGGACAAGGACAACAGCCGCAGGACGTGGCGACGAGTCGCCGTTGTGCCGCCGGAGCAGTACTCGGCGGAGATCCCCAACCTCATCGAGGGCTTCCTCTACCTCTACCGCGTGTTCGCCGAGAACAAGATGGGTCTCAGCGAACCATGCGAGATGCACCGGCCCGTCGAGGCAGCGAACGACTTCAGTACGTAGCTTAAATAATAGATGGAGACATGGCGCTGTGTGTCCATCTTGCGAGAGGACAAATAAAATATTATCATAAAATATGAGAGCAAAAATTAAAGCAAAGGTCAGAAGAGACTAGCAGAAGTTCAATAACTTCAATAATGAGTTATGAATTTCAAAATTTAGTGAATTTCAATAACTTCCTGCTGTCATTAACAGAAGTTGAAATTAGTGATTGAGTGCTAACATGGCATACGCGGCTTTCTTCGTCAGAAGTCCTGTAAGCTAGTCATGTGGAACCACGCCGCTTAGTGCTAACCTAGGCATCATGCTTCAAATATAGACTTCAGTGCGTGGAATTCGTCATTAGAATCATATATTGACAGTTTTCTCAGACGTTGTAAGAAAATTTCAGTGAGGTCACTACTTTGCAGTGAGAAAAGTTGCACATATCATAAGGTCAGTGCATGTAAGTTGACAAACTGTGTTGTTACTAACTTAACTTAGCAGTGTCTTACTGTACGATACCCGGACGTTATTTTCTCCGCCACAGTTGAACCTGGCCAGCCAAGCATGCCAGAGGTGTACGACGTGAGGCCAACAGCTTGTGAATTGGAGTGGGATCCACCGTCGGATGACGGCGGCGCGCCGGTCACCGAGTACATCGTGGAGGGAAAGCTCGTCACCAGCACGCGTTGGGTGAAGGTGAACAAAAACCCTGTCACCGAACCGAATTACTCGGTAAGCAGCCGGCCGGGCACCTGCGTGTGGATTTGAATTTTTTTTTCGTCATGATTTTTTCTTGGCGATTTTATTAATCATATTTCCGAAAATATTATGATATTGTGAATAAAATTTAACGATTATATTAATGTTATAACGAATATTATAAATATTCTCAAACTGTTACTTGCAATAACTAGTGAATGTGCAGGTAAAAACATGAATATTTCTTCAGCACTATGAGTTATTGTTATTATTTATTATTATTATCTTATTGTGATAACCAAATGATATGAATTCGGAATAATGGAATTGGTAATAAGTAAATTGCGCAAATTAGACTAAGATCAGTTATGATTGTAATATATTATGCTTGGTAACTTGGACAGACTGAACTGAACAGAACTTACACAATCTGCTGTGCATAGTAGCATATTTCAATGTTCACATGTCCTTAATTGCAGGTGAAAGGACTTAACGAAGGTGCAGATTACGAGTTTCGTATTGTTGCCGTCAACAAAGCAGGTCTTGGTGAACCAGGTCCACCGTCTGATATCATCACAGCCAAGAGTCCATACGGTACACACTCTGTTCATATTCAGTCTGACTACAGCAAATATTCAAGTGGTTCCTAACCTATTTTGCCTGTGAAAATTCCGCTTAAATATCAGGATCAATGTGATTCAGTCAGCGTTGGCCAATCTAACCAGTCTAGTTCTTAACCGTGACCCGAGTGAAGGGAATAACTGTTATATCTACATATAAAAGTGTTTACCATCATTGCTGTTAGACTACAGATGTGTTTATGTTTGATATTGTGATTTTTTATTGACAGATCCACCAGGAATTCCCGGTTCCCCAGATATCATATCTGTTCATGGTGACTGTGTAGAGCTAGAATGGACTAAGCCTAGACGTGATGGTGGTAAACCCATTACCAACTACATCATAGAAATGGTGAGTACTGTCTAAGCTAAACATCACCATAATAACCTATAATATATATATAAGGTAAAGACCTAGTTAGCTCACTCGTCATACATTGCATCCTCCTTATTACAAATTATGCCAAAACGACGATTATTTGCAACCTTTATGACGTGCAGTATAGTATGAGCTTTACGTATATTCATTATGTTATACATGATGTACATTAATATAATATGAGCTTTACCTATAGATAATGTTGTACATTTTACCAACAGCGGCCAGTGATGAGCAGGACATGGACAAAAGCAAAAACGGGTCCGATCGCTGACACATTCTGCAAGGTGCCGAATCTGGAAACTGGTGGAGAGTTCGTGTTCAGGGTAGTGGCAGAAAACGAAATTGGAGCCGGAAAACCATCCCAGCCAACAAAGAGTGTCCTATGTAAATACACATTTATATGAGTATTGTTTTTTTGAAATGGTAGTCATTGTTTAAACCAAGGCAATATCCAAGATATTGATGAATTCAGTGTTACCCTGTTACCATGTAAAAACTAGGTTAGCTAGCAGGACGAAGTTATCATTTACACGAAGCAATTTACCAATAGAAAAGGTTGATCAAATATATTGCTTTCGTTGAAGAAACCTAATCCAAAATCTGTTCTAGTTTACTAGTAAAGTCAGCGGTCTAGTACAGTCAGGGTACTAGTAAGTGTACTAGTAGTACAGTAGTAAGTACAGTACTATAGTCAGTAGGGTACTATAGTTGCAGGGTGTCCCATCGCAGTGAACCAGTGAGTGTGTTTAATGTTGCTTCTACCGTGGCCAGGTGGAGATGGACCACAAGTTATCCAGGAGCTGTCAGATGTCAATATTGCTGTTGGCCAGAAACTCTTACTCAAATGCAAGATCAACGGTGAACCAACTCCAGAGATCAAGTGGTAAGTGATGTTGGTGCCTGTGTCCGTGTGTACTTTCCGCTGACGTATCTAGTTTATTAAATCTGTCACGCGCATTATTGAATCCAGTAATACAAAAATTAGACACTATGATGTTGTTATTGTTGAAGAAAAGTCTTGTAGGGTAATCATTCGAAGCACCAAATTGTACCTCTACCTTGTTATTTTTAGTTATGGAAAATCGTACAACTATAGTTCACATGCATTTATCTTCTGGTAAGACTTCCTACATAATATGTATATATATATTATATCTCTCGATCACTGCTTGTACTTCCCTGCCCACAGGTACAAGGATGGTAGAGAACTGTTTGATGGGCGCCGCTTCAAGTTGAAGTACAGGGATAGCATAGCGCAGCTCATGATGGATAAGGTCTATGATAGCGAGGCCGGAAAATATTCATGCAGTGGCACTAATGAGCTTGGAACTGCGAAGACATCTTGCCATGTCACCGTGTCAGGTAGGTGTTACTACCGGTTACCTATGCTTCGTACGAAATGCCATCTTCATTTAGTAAAAATAAATTTGTCATTTTTAATTTAACATTGTAAACATGAGTGCAACAAGTTGAAATTCGTAACATTTTTCAGGTTATACTAATAGTTTGTAGTTAGAATTAAACCACTTTAACATTAACGGTTATATTCACGTTTTTTTTGTTATTTAATATAACTAGTTTAATGTCTTTATTTTTCGTATGACCTTTGGTTATGTTTACTTCTAGGACTTATTTTTAATTTTGTTTTGCTCGCTTGAATTTTCTGTAACAAAGATTTCATTCTACTTACTTTGGTTTGATAGCAAAGCCAAAAAAATTACTGAAACGCCAGAACACCATGACAATTGAGCTCGACGACTTTGTAGAGGTTGATGATGATGATTATAGCAGAGGTATAGGAATCGGTGCACTTGAGTTTATATGTGATTGTGTACCTGTCGCAAATGCAAGCCACAGCGAGCGAAGTTTGGTGATGATTTTGCACCCCGTTAAAATAATTGCTATTAATAAATGTGTTTTCTCTGATAGTGAGTTCATCAACATACATGTGTGGATTTAAAGGCATTATATTTGTGTGTGTGTGTGTGTGTGCGTGCGTGCGTGCGTGCGTGCGTGAGTGCGTGCGAGCGTGCGTCCATGACTGCGTGCGTGCGTGCGTGTGTTTGTGCGTGCGTGCGTGCGTGCGTGCGTGTGTGCGTGCATGCGTGTGTGAACTATATGTACCATACTACATACTATATAATATAAACAGGAGTATACGACAAAGAGACAAGAATTGTGTTCTTTATTATGTACTCCTAATATAGAAGATATGTATTATGTGTTTATGTAGCTGTGAAGCAGTATCGCTACATGCATTCGTCATTTTCTATATTTAACCGTGAATTTTCAGCTATAGCTATATGTCTTTATGTATACAGTATAGCTAGTACTTACACGTGTTTTCATATTTGCGTTAGAGCCCTACTCTAGTATATCTCTGTTAAAATTTGTATATCGACATGGCATCGTGGCCTGAAAATATAGCGTGACTGTTTGCCTGTTAGAACATTGTGATATATATGTTTAGGAATTTGTTGGTATTTAGTCAGTATTGACATTTTGTACCCCATGGAATAAGCTAACTCAGTACTTTGTGTACTTGTGCACTATATGTAGCCAAACAGATATAGATGTTTGGTAAGTGGTCACTCTTTGCGTATATGTTTTGTAATGCACTATGTGTACAGTGTCTTGATGTTTTATTTGATAGTTATAGGTATGTTTTTTGCTATGGAATTAGTTATTGTATTGTCTCCATTGTTGCATGCTTTATGTACTCACCTGTTTGCTCTTATATAGCACATAATTCAGTTTAAAATTTTCTAAATTTTTGTTTGAAGTAATCATTTTGGTTAAAAAAATTATTTATTAGATATATAATTCTTTTAAAATAATCTAACCATTTAATCAGAACCATTGTAGCCTTTTATTTTTAATTCTTTAATTTATATAATAAATTAGCATAATATTAACATTTATAACACAACTAATATTATAATTATAGATTCATGGATTAAAATCTAGTACCCTTTCATATAGAAATTCTATCAGTTACTCATGCATATGTTGTAGCTGGGGCATTTTGTCTTTGCCCACATTGTTCGAGTTACTAATAAACTGAAAATTTCCTGATTTGTCTATTGTGTAATTGATAGAATCACCAATACATGAGGAGGAGGAAGAGGAGGAGGAGCTTGAGAGTGGACGTGGTGATGTTGCTTTTATAAAACCAGTCTTCAAAAAGAAACTCTCTGATATCAATTGCTCAGGTATTTTTATTGTATCTGCATGCTTTTCATTTGTGGTCTTTTACTATTTGCTATACGGAATATTATCTTCATTTGTAAAATATTTCACTCTACGTGTGCTTAATTAAACTGTTTCAATGTAAAGTGTTCACATTCATAATAAATAACCAGAAGTTAAAATTCATTGAAGAGGAAAATTTTTACGAACTCCCTGCATCTACAGTACGAGACCATAACTTCAACTAATTCTATGGGATTCAGACAAATGCATACCCAAGAGAATCATCATGTATCTAAACCAATTTTAAAGCTCTTTTTTTATTGCTGTCTGTACCATAATTGAGACCTACTGTCTTATAGAAATCTAGGATGTTCATATTCACGATTTCCATCGCTATCTATAGATCATCACATAAACGAACTATTCTTTGCAATAAATTACATGTTGATGTCGATCAGATATTTACATTCACGATTATCGTCGCCATCTATAGATCGTCACATAAACGACGTATTCTTCATAATGAGTTGTATGTCGATCACCAGAGGGCGGTGCGGTCAAGCTGACCTGTGTGGTCAGCGGTGTCCCGCGGCCCGAGGTGGTGTGGCTGCGGAACGGACAGCCGATTCAGGACGCGGACGACTATCGCTACATCGTCGACGGCGAGAGCAACTCCCTCATCATCAAGGAAGTGTTCCCCGAGGATGTGGGTCTCTACAGCGTGAGGGCTTCCAACGTCGGCGGCAGCGTCGCGTGCGATGCGATGCTCACTGTTGATGGTACGCATGAGCTGCAATTCTTGACACGATGATATTTTGTGTTCTGATATGCTCTCGATGGGGTGACTTAATTCGTGGTGTCAATTTCCGTGCATTATATTCACGAGAGTGAATTATAATCAAGGAAAACTACGTGCGCAAATGCTCCTTCAGTAATTGAGTATCATTGCTTTAGTATCCTAGTATCCTCCTAATCTAGTACTCCACTAGAATTATTTTAAGATCACTCTGTGCAACGGGAGTGACTAAAAACATTTGTTTTCATTCACTCTTGATGTGCAGAAAATTGGCCGACTTACTAGACAATTTTAATAAATAGACAGCAGACAGTACCACTTGTTACTGTATTTGTTTACGGTAACTCTAACATCCTCATTATAAGCTTTCCATGCGCCAAACTATCTGCCTATACTAGGTGAAGACGAGGAAGATACGAATGCTCCGCGATTCAGGAAACTCATGAAGGATTGTGAGGTGTGCGAGAATGAGTCTGCATCCTTCACCGTCAAGATAAGCGGACGTCCTCAGCCAGAGGTCTCATGGTAAGTGACGGTGTGATGTACTACTTTAATAAATGGCGCACAGAAACACTCCTTTTAAAGCCTATGCAAAACCCAAAAAAATACGTATGTTAAACTTATAGGTAATGTGTAATCATGTTATTTTTCAAGCTATGCTTAAAAAAAAATTTTTTTTTAAAAAGGTTTGATATATTTTTTGTGCAGACCTCAGATTTGCTATCAGTGTAGTACGCTGTCTGTATCTTTCTATCCTAGTTCATACTCATTGAATCATTACCATAAGGGTTACTATAGTGATGTAGTTAACCGTAATTGACGCTGAGAGGGTCTATGTCCCCCAGGGTACTGCCGGAACGTACCCTGGTACTATCTAATATGCCGGACCGTACCTTGGCGACTCAACGCCTACTCCACTAACGAGTCTAGGGAGTCACCTACGCCTACTCCCTAACCCTAATCCTAACCCTAACCATATCAAATAGTTACCAGGGTCTGTTCCGGTATACCGGACTGTACTCAGGGTACGTTCCGGCAGTACCCCGGGGGACATAGACCCTATGAGCGTAATTAACGGTGTAATAATAATGTTAATACAGTCATATTGTGTCACTCTAGGTTTGTCAATGAGACTATGATAGTGCCAGACAACAGGAAGTACACTGTAACAGATGATGGTGACATGTGTACATTGACTGTGAATCAGTGTTCGATGAGGGATGCAGATAACTATGCTTGCAAAGCTGTCAACGAGGCTGGAGAAATCACGTGCCATGCAGATCTCATTGTAAATCGTAAGCAATTTAAAGCAGTTATAAATGTCGAAATTAGTTAAATGTGGTCTATTTAATATCACATAATGTGGTGGTTTGAAGGGAGAACACGGTGTATTTGCGATGTACATTCCTGCAGAGATGCCAACCACTACGATTTATCCGTATTTTATACGAATTTCTATTCCTTTTGCACTACTAGGACCATTTTGTATCAAACTACGAATTTCACTGTGATAGAAAGAAAAAAATTTAATTATTGTCTTTTTATTGCCATTTTTGACCCTCAGAATGCAGGAAATTGCATCTCAGAATCAAAAAAATTTCCGGGGGGCATGCCGGACCCCCCTAGCAAACTATTAATTTGATGGCCAGAAACTACAGATTGCTTCAAATATGTGTTGGCATCTGATTCCAGGGTTTATACTACAATAGCTGTATATCTGACAGGCAGAGACTATAACAAAATGTAAATTAAAATATAGATGTAGTCAAAAGTTCAATGCTAACTTTGCTTCAACAATCATTTGTGTGGCGATAAATTTAATTATCGGCAGACAGTTTATAAATTCTCATAAGCAACCTCTTTAGGTTATTGAGTATTGCTGGTGATTACTATTATTAGAGTCCTATTTATGTTCTTGATTAGTTACGTATGAGTAATTTCATTTTCTTGCATCGTACATATCATTTGACAGCATTATTCATATGGCTTAATAGTGTAACCTATGTTATTTTGATGTGAGGTAAACGTTTTATTTACTTTTCTATACATATTTATATGATATTTCATATAGACAAAATAAAAGGTGATCATCCAGCCGTCATAATTCATAGTATGCCCATGTAGGTTACCTATGTTAATTGCTCGACTAAACGAACTGGTAGAAACTGGCTAGGTCTTGCAGTTTATTATCCTATCTCATACTTCAACTAACTAACACTAACTACTCTTAATAACACTTAATTTTAACTAACTAAGACTAACTACACTTAATAACACTTAACTTTAACTAATTAACACGTGCTGTTAATTATTTATGCAGCTGCGGGCAGAGTGAGGCGCAGAGATGAACCTGAGTATCCACCTGAGTTTCTGGAGGAGATTGAGGATGAGACTGTTGTAGAGGGAGACGAGGTACTCATGTTGTAATAAACTGCAACTTACCATGTTATCTTTGAACACTGACATGTGCTAATTGGTGTGACATGTTTACGATAGATGTGACCTGTGAGTCGAAAAAAACACATATACACATCTTTAAAAAAAAAAGAAGAAAAAAAGTGAACATTTTAAAATGAAAGGCATATAGTTGACCTGCTATGATTGAATGGCAGTTCTAGCCAATCGGTGTCGTGACAAAACGTGCTAAAAACAATGCTTAACAAATATAAGTGCCACAGATTTGACATTTTGGCAGGAACATGTGTAAAACCACATATTAACTAGGTGAGCTTGACCGACCTAGTGGCCACAACAATATACAACATATAAACGACCTACAACATGTAAACCAAGTGAGATTGATTGACCTAGCAGCAGTGTCCCAGGTGGGCAGGGTAATCTTGCTCGTGTGGATATGTCAGTTAATGTCAGGTTGCTAAGATCAAATTCTGCTTACAGGTGACATTCACGTGCTCCTACAGAGGTAACCCCGATCCAGACCTGCAGTGGTTCAGAAATGGCCGCTACCTCACGCCAACTAAAGACCTCAGCATCAAAGTTGTTGGCAACAGATGCACATTCATCATTAGGTAATGTTTCTCATAGTGTTTGAACGGTTTGTAATGCTAATGTAATTGCCATTAACTAAAGAGTCTGATCGTATATAACCATAAGTTATAAAGACCTCAACGTTAAAGTTGTTGGCAGCAGATGCACATTCGTCATTAGGTAATGTTTCACATAGTGTTTGGACAGTTTTCAATGCCTACGTAATTGTCATTGATTAAAAAGTCGGATCTTATATAACAATGTTTTCGTCTAGTAATAGCCATGTGTTATACTAGGGTTATGCATTGTGATAGCGGCAATGTTAAAAATTACATGTCTTCTGGCTTATTCTTCTGAACTTCTTCTCTAGTCCATGGTGACACTTCTTCTCTAGTCCATGGTCACACTTTTTGTCCGACTTGTGAATTTGGAAAATGTCTCACGCTAGCTGGCAGACGTACGTGTGGTTCACCAATAGTCAGGGGAAGTGTAACCCCATTTTTGCTTGTTTAATCTTTGTGGTTAGTTTTGGTTGCTTGTTTGGGCAGAGTAATTACGTGGGCCATGTCAAAAAATTGATGCTCTAGAAACGAATATATAAGTCCTATACTTGTTTAATAATAATTTAATTTCATGATGGTTTTTCTGGCACTATAGTTGCCTTTATTATCAAAGATCACTATGCATTTTATTAATTTCTCTAGACAATAGAAATTGATTGAACCTATTCTAATTAATGAAGTCTGCCTATGTCACTGCACAGAACTAGCCGTTAGAATCATCATGTTTTTCATGATTAATTCCTCTTTTTTCCTTTTAACTTGAGATTGTAAGTAAAATGCACAGTTTTACTGTCACAGTAAGTTAGTAGTATGAGTAAGCTTTGTATTTGCGTGCTATAAATGTGATAATTATACTTTTTTTAAATCTTATGCTTTCTTAGTTAATAGCTCCATGAACAAAGAGCTATGTTGTATTTTGATGCTGTGATGTGTTTATTTTCGTTATGTGATTTTCATGATCCTCCAGGCAATTTCCTAGCTCCCTGTAGATGGTTCCTATCATTTCATCGTGCTGCATACAACAAGTTTGCGTTCCTGCCACTTTATATATATAGTAATGAAGTGTAGTGCAAGTCTACATAAAGCAGATGCCCTTCTGAGAGCCAGCCCAAGATCAAAGGCTGCATTGCCGTCAGTAGTGTCCCACTAGCTCTCACATGTGCAGCGGGCATGCACTGCTAGGTTCCTCAGTTTGTGGAGTTTTCTGCATCTGTTGATCCTATGTAGGCATATTCCCGCCTGTTTCTCCCTAACAAGTCCATCGCTGTTATCTACTGGCTGTGTGCAGGTTTTGTAGGAATTCACAGGAAATGAGGTTTGTTAGCGAATTAAAATTAGCTTGCAAACGTGTTACTTGTCGTTGGCGTGTATCGCTCAGTATAGTCGCTTGGTGGACGTGAAGGATTAGGGAGTATGATTGTGGCATTCGTGAACTGTGTTGGAGAGGAGTGTGTTTTGAGTTTGCGCCCACTCGTCATACAAGTTGTTATGTGACTACCTAATTCTGTTTTCTCCAGTATTAACATGTGCAGATGTGGTATAGTTTGAGAAAGCAGTCGATTGCTACACATTCTGAAGTTCTGGTCATGTATATCCGTTACTGTGCTGTGCATCTAGCTACCACGTATTCGTAGGGGTGTGTGATGAAAAGCTCTCATCCTGCTAGTTAGAAAGGATGCATGTCGTGATTAATCTGTATTTAATTATAATCTTATAATTAAACTTCATTTATTACTTTAATTTAATCTTATTTAATCTCGTCTCTTCCGTTTTATGCAACAGAGAGGCATTCCCCGAGGACAGTGGCACGTACACATGCCAGATAACGAATGAGCTGGGTCAGGCCACCACGAGTGCCATGCTGCTCGTGGAAGAAGAGGACGACGTGAGGAGACCACCAAAGATGGCACCCTCCTTCAGTGAGCGCTTCCACGACCTTGAGATCTATGAAGGTAAAGCGAGCACCGATATCGTTATTTCAAAATATTCTCTTACTTTAAGTTACTATGTCATCGTAATCAGTGCTAGAATTGATTTGACAAAAGCTAAAATTATCTTTATTTCAAGCTATTTATTTCAGGATGGTCATCAGTGCTGTTTCGAATAGAACGTTGAAGTGTGTTTTAGTCTTATTCGAGTAACTTTGTCACCCATAATCAATGCTAGAATTTTTTTGACAAAAGCTAAAATTACAGCTATAGTTTGCTTACTTTCTATTGTTAGATTGCTACATTATAACTTAAATGTTTCCATTTTATTCAATATGAACAAAATGTAGTGACTTACACGTAGCTTATTTAAGAAGCAATCTTGGGGCGCACAATAATTCAAATTGTGCAGAAGCAAGTTTTTAAAACAATCTCATAGACTAATTGACTATAAGAGCTTTATGATATATGTAATCTCTGTATGTATATGTATGTATCTATGTAATGTATGTCTAATTTGTTATGTAATACAATATGTCATGTGGAAAATTACAAATGTACTTCTCATGAAAAGGTGGCATTGCCATTTTAGCACATTCACTATTTGTCCTTACTCTGACTCATATCCTACTCATGTCATCACTATTTGTCCTTACTCTGACTCATATCCTACTCATGTCATCACTATTTGTGCTTACTCTGACTCATATCCTACTCATGTCATCACTATTTGTGCTTACTCTGACTCATATCCTACTCATGTCATCACTATTTGTGCTTACTCATGATGCAGGATATGAAGCAACATTCAGCTGCAAGATCGTAGGTGTTCCCCGGCCAGATGTGATCTGGTACTTCAACAACAAGAAGGTCGATACGACAGATCCACAGTTCCGATTCTTCCAGAAGGGCTTCAGGTTCCAAATGGTACACAGTAGTATTTTTCATTATATATATATACAGTTCACATAGAAATATAAATATATCACAATTTAAAATATAATATTTCACATCGTTAATTATTAATATGGTTCCATTTCTAGCTGGAGCTATGGGACATCATGAACCTATAGATATTGAACACAATCGTCACATTCACAATTCTCGTCAACTTGTAGAATGGTCTTTACTGTTCCAAGTGGTTGTTGTATATTATGTTGAGAAATAGCACCACACTAAATTATTTTACAAATTTCAGACTGAGAATGTCAATCCTTCATACAATTGCAATATTAGCTGTAACATTGAACTATAATTGTAAAAACTAAATAATGTAAATGATCGGAAGCTTAGAGCACTCACACTATTTGTTTCTCTACTTGACCTCTATGTCACAGGGTCATTACATATACTGCAGTCCCTGTAAGCATAGCATACCATAGCCTAGCAATGGTATATTATTACAACATAACATAATAAAAACAAGAGCAATCGGAGATAGCAAACCTCCGCCACATCATAACAGTCCCCCCCCCCCATCTTGCTGGTACACCCAATATAGAGTTTGATGAAATTTTCAGAAATTGGGGGAATTGAAGGAAAATCAGATTTTTGGTGGTTTTTTTATGAATTTTGAATGCGTCCGAAGTCTTCCCTACAAAAAAAACTGGATCCATATCTGGATCCGGATCACCACCAAAATCTAATCGATTGGTTCTTGGCCCAAGACCAACCCATGCAAACAAATTCATCAAAATCCGTCCGTAACTTTTTGAGGTATCCTGTTGACAGACAAACAAACCAACCAACAAACAAACTACCAGGGCGAAAACATAACCTCACTGGCGGAGGTAACAATGCATAGCATAGCATAGCATAGCATAGCATAGCATAGATCAACATAGCAGAGTGTGATGCAGACGAATTGAATTACGTGAAGAATAGGGCTGCGTTACAGTTTTCTGTTGGCCTACAAACAGCACTGTAACACGAGATGAAGAAGCCAAGCTAAGGCTGAGAGGGTCTATGTCCTCCAGGGTACTGCCGGAACATACCCTGGGTACTATCTAATATGCCGGACCG